TGTGAGTTGCAGTCAGAAGACCAGCTGGCGAGCATACGTAAGCTTTCGATAAATTCTCTTCGGGCCAGTACATTTTATAGAAATACGGTCATGGGTAAAACATGCGGTTATTCGTGGTAACCGGAAGAGGTGTGGTGGGGCTCGATCGGAGAAGACCGGTTAAGCGGCTGCGAGGTTGTATTGGGGCCGGCCTAGGGGACTTGAAAGATAAAGAAAGCGTGCAAGAGTTCATGCAGTAAAGTGGCCGTTGGTCTTACCAGAAGCGGAGATTGCAGGAAGTTCCTTTGTACGCACAAGACCGGATTCGTCAACCTGATAGTGATCGCTTATTTTGTTGCTAACAATCGGTGATGCACGGGACATAGGGTAGTTTGGTGGGCTCTTTTGCATTATCCGGACTTTTATGTCGTCGAGATTGCATATATGTCACTACGCGGACACATCAGAAGCCGCCTATGATACGGGTGCAGTACATTTTTGACTAGGTTGACGGTTAGGTATGGGGATAAACTTTCAGTGATTTTGCTATCTCATTTCATGGACCAAACTTTACGTGAAATTACTATTTACTCGCAAACCGACACAATTTAATCGAAAAAAAAACACCGCAAGTATAGGAGCGCTTTCATGCAAATTGAAAAACATAAAAGCAATATTGTTTTTTCGGAAAAAGCGAAAATTGCCACAACGTCAACTACCGCTGCACCTGGTGTATCTTAGGTTTAAAAAACAAAAAAAAATTATGTGCAAGGGAACGCCGCTTTCACCGACATGCACAAACAGAATTACGTTTGAAGCTATTCGGTTTAGGCCGTTGACACTTAATCATCCTTAAACATTCGGTAAAATTTATAATGTGGCCGTCAGCAAGCAGCCTACAGGGGGTTACAAAAAGCCAGTTCAGACAGCTCAGACCACCAAGACAACTAGGACATGGTTTTATTTACTGGTGTTCAAAGCCACTTGTTTCCACCAGGTGATGAATTCAAAGTTCTGAAGTCACTTCGAATCGAGAAAAAGCCGACACATACCGCAGATATGCTGTGACCAAGACCGCTCAAAATTATGCTGAAAAACAAAGAACATGTCAAGCTGATCACGTCTAAAAAAGTAACCTACGTCGCTCGCATCGAGAGGTTTTTTTTCAACCGGACTATTCCCCGGAGGAACGGCTGAAACGCCCGGAATTAGTAGCGGAATTACAGTTGAGGGTAAGGAATGGCGAGGTAATCTTCATCGGGAAGATAATTCAAAAGAAAACGCCGAACCAACCGGTAATCCTCCGAACGACGGCCAGGACTTGACTGACACAACCGGATTGAACCGAACAATAAAACTAAAGTGCATATACACCAACGCACAGAGCCTGCCCTCTAAATTAGACGAGCTGCATAACAGACGTCTGCATAACAGACGTCTGCATAACAGAAACGCGGTTGAGAAGTAGAAGACAACTCGATCGCTGGGACACTATGTTTATTTGCCTGACGTTTTGATATCCGTCGCGGATTCATCTTCAGAGACATACTTACAGAACCGTAGCAGAAACAATAGGTGTGTGCACAGAGTTCCGCCGTAAAATTAAAACGTACAGAAAAAATCGATAAATATCCTAGGCGTGTTCTGATTCGTTGCGTCAGCCATGACCATCTGGCCTTGCGGTGTTGGCATAAGACGATGTGGTGGCCCGTCTGTTCCACAAATGGCGATTTGATTTGGCCAAATTTAGTCTCAGTACCGAATATGT